AGTGATGGAAGTTGTGGAGTACCTAAACACTATGTTTAGGCCAGCAAAACAAGCAACAGAAGATATGGAGGTAGATGCAAACTAGGGGACTCATCACAACAATGAAGAAACACATGGACTGCAATACATAACCACTTAGCTGTGTTAATCTTTTTTTTTTTCATTCACTTATTAGGTGGTTAGGTGTATTTTGTTGATTACAATGATGCAAACATGTAAGACAGTCTTATGTAAGATCTTTTGATGAAGGTATGGTCCTTTTGTACCCACATTTTGAATGGAATAGAAATGAAAAAGAATGGCTGTTATGTGGGCACTCAATCCATCAGAAGCTTAGTATGTCATTGTTGAATACAACACTAAGTCACAAAGTTACCTCAATAACAACAGCATAAACCAAATTGTTGGAGCAAAACACTTGTGTTTAGTGAAATTCAATGGAGTCCCTTCATCATTTGGATTTGACAAAGTAAACAACACAGTTAAATGGGGGACTCAATACAAATCAGGCTAAAAAAGATCATCAATGGGGACTCCTTTAAGAAATGTTTAAAAACAGTAAGGGACTGACATGTGTTCTCTACCCAAATGATCATTGAGAACACTGTAATGTATAACCATGCCAACATTAAAAAAGAAAGCACACAGAAGCCTCATCATTCATCAATCAAACCCCCATAGGCACCATATGTCATTTTGGCAACACCAAACCAATCATACAAGCCAATGAAACCAAGACATGCAACATGAAGCAACAACAAGCCTACATAATCCAACCAGGAAACATAATCCTTCAAAACAAGGCTATGTCAAGTCCAACAAGCCAGCATATTCCAACAAGCCAACAAATCAGACAAAAACACCAACACATACATGAAGCAAACATAATAAAAAACAGCAAACAGAGCCAATAGGTACAACAACCCAACACAACCTCAAAGCCAACAAACCAAGAGATCATACAAATGAACTCTAACACAACCAACAGGTACAACAACCCAACACAATAAAAAATAAGCAACATAGCCAACAAGCCATCGGATCAAATCAACATACTATCAAAATAATCAATGAAAAGGGACTCAAATCAAAATTAAATTATTTAAGGTTAGGAATCGTTACGCAAGCAGTCACTTGGAGGGTTGAACCTTTGGGTTCATCCGCCTCGCACAGTGCTTCAAAGGAGGGCCCTGCACTTCACCATCTTTCACTGGAGGGGCAACCTTCTTTGAAGGAGGTGATGAACCCTCCTCCTTTTCAAGCTCATCATCAGAGGACCGAACGATCAACGCCTGATCACCCACGCATCCGCCTTATAGCCACCAACGCTGCCTTCCTTCTAGCCCTAAGCTTCGTGGGTGGCCTAGCCCTCTTAGAGAACTCCCCTCACCACTGTGACTGGATCTACAGATACAGCACTGAAATCAAGCGATTTCTTTCCACGGGACTCCCCCTCACCCTCCTTCAGACGCTCCTCCTCCTCAACGCTTTCAAGCACCTTACCCAAAGCCTTGTAGGTGGTCGACGTACAGTAAGGACCAGCCTCACCAGACTCATACAATTGGCGAGGAAAAGGAGATTCGGTCTCAATAGATTGAATCAGAGATACAATCAAATTATCCTCACCGACGTCGTCGGTGGCCATGAAAGCCTCGTGAAGTGGATCAAGGTTTATCATGTTCTTGGGGGACTCGTTTTTTCAAGATTTGATGTCTCAAGGTAAGATCTAGAGAGTAAGAATGGAGAAAACTACGGACGAACAGGAGAGAGAAAGACAAAGAGGATGAACTAGGGTTCATCTTAGGAAGCCCAGCCATCAGAAATTAATTTTTGGTGGTTAGGAATGTGAGTAATGAGAGTAGTTGCGGGGAAATGGGATAATAAATGAAGGGAGTAATTAGATTAGGGTAATCAATTTAAGGAAAATCTCACTTTTGCTACCACCAAAATACATGCATTTCACTTTTGGTACCCCTTTAAAATTTTATTTTATTTTGCTACCACACAAAAACAACTTTGTTAAAATTTGATACCTTTTAACAGAATTGGTTAGGGTTCTGTTAAGTTTATTCAAAAAAAAAAAAAAAAAAAAAAAAAATTAAAATGTTTTTTAGAAAAAAAAGAAAACCCAGCTAGCCACCCTCCCCCCTCCCTTTCCTCCACCTACGCAGCCCACCACCTTCAATTGCCCAACCAGCCCCCTCCCGTCAGCTAGTCCGGCGATTGGCGCACAAAGCTTTGGCCGGCGCCGACGACCCTACCCCACTCCCTTTCCCCTCAACGCAGTCCACCCCCCCCCCTCCTTTTTCCCCTTCTTCCGACCCCCACTCCGAACCGAAAACCACCCCTTTCCCCATTCGCCCCACCAGAATCGGCCCCCCTCCCCATTCCGCCACCAGAATCGTCCCCTCCCCCCCTTCCCAAGCTTTGGGCGCCGGCCGCCGGCAGGGGGGAAGGGGGGAGGCTGCCAGTTGAGGGTGGCTGGGTTTTTTTATTTTTATTTTTTAATTTTTTTTTAATTTTTTGAATAAACTTAACGGAACCCTAACGGATTCCGTTAAGTGGTAGTGAAATTTAAATTAGGTGATTTTAGGTGGTAGCAAAATAAAATAAAATTTTAAAGGGGTAGCAAAAGTGAAATGCATGTGTTTTGGTGGTAGCAAAAGTGAAATTTTCCTCAATTTAATTTAAGACTAATGTGATTAAAATAAGATAAGGGTAAAATTAAGAAAATCTGATTTTTTAAGTAGTGGGTAAATATTTAATTTCCAGGGTTTTTGTTTACTAAAAAATAGAAAGAAAATAGAAAGTTGTACATAATGTTTAGCGGACAAAAATAGTAAAAGTTGCACATAAAAATTAACGGAGGTAGTATAAAGAATCCATCTTAGATTATGGGATGCTAAAATGCTAAAAAAAAAAAACGATGATGTAATATTATTAATACATGACAATGAATAAATTATGGTATGCTAGAATACTAATGAATAAGAGAAAATGTAGGATAAGAATTCATAATTTAGTCTACAATAATACTAGGTTAAACCCTGTATAGATGCACTGTTGTTCAATAATTTTAAGGAAAAATTTAAAATAATTATCCGACCTTTGCTCGACCTGCTGAAAACAAGCTAACCTTTGCGTATTCCGGAAACAAGCCAACCTTTGCCCCCTATTTTCTCAAAATAAGCCTTTTTACCTTTCTCATGCCACCTTACCACTCTCTCTTCCACCAAAACCACCACAACACAACCCCCTTCCCTTCTAGGAAGCAATAACCAAAATCGACAGCAAATTCGTTCTCTCTTTTTTTTTTTCAAAAAAAATAAATTTCCTTTAGTCTCGCTTCGCCAATGTATGAACATATGATTGCAGCTGTTGTTTCCCTCGTTTTGGCTCCTTCGCCGGCTTCTGGACTGAATGGGCGTTTCTTTGATAGGCTGCTGTGATTGTTGAGGTTATTAGAAACATTTCAAAGCTTGCCGGTTACTGACTTCGAAAGCCCTGTAATATCGTAGCTGACGTAAAGGGCGAGTGACGCATCATTTGACTTCTGATGATGATTTAACGACGTCGTATCGTCATTTACAAGAGGATTCAAAAATTCATCCCCATTTTGATGGTTTAATCGCTTCCTGGGAAAATGGTTGTTTTTTTGATGGTCTTTGTTGTGGCTGCTAACCTGCTAGGTGCGGTGGATGGACATCAGTGTGGGGCTGCTGGTTATGGTTGAGGAGTGATTGTTGCGGTCGTTGTGCAGCTTTGTTGATTGCTGGTGGTGGGTGGTGGCATGCTGCTGTTCAAGGAAGGAGGGTGCGTGGTGATGGGCGGCTGCTACGTGCAGTGGTCGATGTGGGGCTGCTGGTAGTGGTCAAAGATTGGTGGTTGTGTGGCTTTGTTGATTGCTGGTGGTGGAAGTACTGTGAGAGGAAGGGAAGGTGCGTGGTGATGGGTTGGCCGGCGGGAAAGGGGTAGCTAATGGGGGTGACCCAGGGGTGGTGGGGGTGAGTCAGGTGAGCTGGTTCCTTTTTTTCTTTTGTTGCCTTTTGTTTTTTGTTTTTTGTTTTTTTTTTTTTAAAATTGTTTTTTGAAAAAAGACCAATTAAGGTTACACGTGGAAAGTCATCTTCTAACATCGGTTACTAAAAATCGGTTACCAAAAATCGGTTAAAAGCTTGTTTCGAGAAAATAGGAGGCAAAGGTTGGCTCATTCCCATAATATGCAAAGGTTGGCTAGTTTTGAGAGCAAAGGGGGGATTATTTGTTTCAATTTTCCTAATTTTATTGACAACAAATTCATAAAAATAGGGATAAAATTATAAGGCCTTGACACACTAATTATTATAGAGTATTAGTTGTTATTTGTATTAGAGGGTCTCACTACCTAGTTGTATTAGTTGTCGATGCAAAAGTGTTTGGTAAGTAATAGCTACTATATTATGTAAAATGACCAATAATCATACATGCCTAGTTTATCATTATGTATATTCTTAAGCAAACTTTGTAATAGGTAATAAATTTGACCAACTTTTAATAAAAGAGTCATTTTTAACTTTCATAAACCTCTTGCATCAAAAAACTGCTAATAGTAGCTTTATGGGCACAAAGCTCTTTCTCTCCTCATTTAAACACTCCTATTAGAGGTTTGAGTTAGTTAAACTTCTCTTTTGCCTCAAACCTCTCCCAACCAAACATCCTATCAAATGTGAAACTAATACAATCTTTCCTTGATATATTAGCCATGAGTAATGATCTTTTATTGGCAATTATTGATTGCAATATTGCACATAATGGGAAGACTCTTATTCCTTATATACTGTAAATTTCACTTTATTCTTTTGTGATTTCTTTTCTTATCTTATAAAATCATTAACTGCCATTAATACTTTGCTATTTACTTGCAAGATTGAAGTATGAGTACCGCAATATTATAGTGTTCTGCATGATGTTATGGTTTAGTTTTATGTACGATGTATGATTGTGATTCTCTTCTGTTTTAGGCATTTTCTGGAACTCAAAATGTTTCCAGTGTACAAAAGGACGAAGCTTGGAGAGTCAATGTACGTATACAAGGTTGTGACCTAGAGCATGGATATCTGTGTGGCACAATGGAAGCTCTTAATGTTCCAATGGCAGATACACCGGTAAGCCATTCTTCTGAATGATGATGATAATGTGATTTCTTATACAAGCTCTCTAACAGAATTGTTATTTTTTACTTTTGTAGATAGATACTAGACAGGAATTGATAAAGAATTTTGGTAAATAACAATCTCATGTAATTGGAGAATTTTGCCACTTTTGAACATTGTAGAAATTTCATGTCCACCTGTTCAAAGATAAACAAGTTCTTTTTTGTTGACTTCAGGTTATCACCAGATTAGTGTTCCCTTTACTTATGAGACTGATACATTATAAAAGGTATTTTTCAGGAGAAACAGAGAAATGTTTGTAGAAAATTCGATGATTTCAGATACCATCTCTAAAATTCCATCATACTTTTAACACCATGTTTCCTCTCATCTAGGCATCATTCATTAGCAAACATCATGCACAAGGTACAACATAATTGAATTTGTTTATTTGTCTATGACTAGCTAAAAGAAAATGGCTAAGTTTAAAACCTTATGTACTATAATTGTATTAGGGAGCTCTTATATCTTCCCAGATTTGCACTCTCGTGTTAACTCAATATATGCCCTTAATGATATCAATACATTTTTTTCAAATATACCTTCAATCATTAAAACCCACCAAAGTATCTCTGGGCCTTGTCATAGGACTTTTCCAAATCGATGAAAACCATATGTTAGTCCTTATCCCAATAGTTCTCCATTGGCTATCTCATGAAATAAATTACCTCCATGATTGTTCGTCCAAGCATAAAGCCAAAGCTAAATTGGCTCTCTATGTTTCACTCTTCTCATTAACATTTGTTCAATCACTTGCTTTCAAAGTTTTATAGTATAACTGTATAATTCATTAGATTTATCTCTCAATAGTTGGCACAATCCTGATATTATATTTTTTGGTACAAAGGGACTAGAGTGCTTTTCCTCCACTTCAATGGCATCTTATTACATTTGTATATCTTGTTGAAAAATGTTGTCGACCTTCAATTCCTTTCTCCCTCAAACATCTTTAAACCTTAATAGGAATGCTTTCTTTAATTTTTTTTTATTGAATGCTATATTGACTTCTCCCCTTTTGAATAATCCTAATAACTGATTTCCATTGAATAAATTATTAAGACCTTTATCTCCTTATCTCCAACCAAAACTCTGTATTTGATATTCTTCACACATTTGACCTTCCTATATCCCTCGTTTATGAGCAAGTCAATGCCCTTTTCCCTTCTTTCATATCCAACCTTGCATCAGCTCTAAATTCACCTTTGGTTTTGCTTTTCGTAAAACTTTCTTTAATTCCCTTTCTAGTTTCTTTATACTTATAAATCTTACCTTTCCCATACATTGTATACTATTCTTGTTTGCGCTTTAATTGCTTGTCACTTTTTAATTACACCAAGATGTGTTGTTACTTGGCAACATGCTTCCTTTTAGATTCTTGTAGGACCTTTTCCACCACTTCCTTTTATGCTCCATTTTAATTTACGCTTAATCCTTATCGAAATCCATGTTATAAGATAAAAAAAATCCCTTGATAGTTTGCACAAATTTTTGTTGATTCTTCCCCTTGAAAATTCCACCACTTAAGCTTAGGATCTAGGTGTATCTCTTACAACAAAAATCAACCACAACCAGTCTATGTTAGGTTGTACTCTCACCGAGATTCAACTTACAATCAATATGACCCTTTCTCCTACCATTCCTTGATAAAAATAATTTATTTTGTTTTGCCAACATAAATATTGGTCAAAGTTTTAAGTTGGCATATGTGTTAATAATCCTCGCATTTAATGTCCATAAGATGTGACTAAGGTTTTATGCCGGCCACCATAGAGTTACCACAAGAGACCTGGCAGTGAATGCCATGCAGAGCTATAAAATTGAGTTTTCAATATCCGGAAAAAAAAAAAAAAAAAAAAAAAAAAAAAAAAAAAGGAATGTCAAGTGTGTGTCATAACGACTGGTAAAACATTGATTGGAACTTGGGGAACTGAGTACTGGGCTGCTAAGGCTAGTTAGTGTCGAAATGTATGAAGCAAATGGAAGCTTGTCTTTGTAACACTGGGTTTTTTCAAATTGGGGACGAGCAGAGTGAGAAAGAGAAGGGTAAAAGTCAATTAGTAGAAGAGAAACAACAATGTAAAGAGAATATATATGATGGAGAACCAGCACAAAGGATGATAGGGGGAGACAGGCCTATCACTGACTTCAAGAATTTTTAATTATCTGAATAAATTGTTTTTTCTGCTTCCATAGTCGATTAGAATATATGTATGATGCATTGCTGATCAAGCTTCTCTGTTTACAACATACAGGTGGTGACTTTTTGGGAAGGGGAAATTGTTGATACCAAGAATTATACCTTCTTCACTGGAAAATGGGAGGCAACGTGAGGTTTCTATCCCTTTACTTGAAAGAATATGGGAGGTTTCTTTTTATATTTAGGCTCCTTAGCTTTCATAGTGAGGATCATCTAGGCTATAATATGAGGTCGGTTTAACATTTTCTAAATTAAATTTATCTCTTGGCTTGAAATACTGTAGGCCTGAGGATGATATTAGGCACTGGACAAAATTTCAGTCCTTTGCACCCCTTTTGGTAAGTAATTCCAAAATATATATTTTGTGCCTGAGCAGAATATATGATCTTTGTAGTCTGATATGATGTCTTATAGAGTCAAGTAGAGGTTGATGGTGGGAAGTCACTGGACTTGAGTAACTATCCATTCATTTTCATGGTAAGTTGGTGTGATTTCCTGTTATATCAGAAATGGAGGGATAACTTAGGATATCGCTTATAATATAAACCCTTTTTTTGTGGATCTAACGCAGAGATGGAAGGAACAGTATTTTGTAAGTGTTGGTACTGACTGCGGCTTAACAATAGCGGGCTTTTATTATGTATGCTTCTCCTGTAGTGATGGCTCCATTCATGGCTTCTACTACGATCCTAATAGCAGGTATTGACATTGCTTTTCACAGTAATACAGGTCCTCATTTTATTTTCTTGAAGATGAAAATGAAAACTGGGGCAAGGTTGGGGAGAGGGGTTTTGTAAACTTCGTGCTGTTTGTGGATCTTGTAGTGTTGATTTTATCATAAATATGGTTTTGCAGTCCTTTCCAGAAGCTGGAGTTAAAATCTAGTAATGAAGGGAGGTATGGCTTCAGTTTTTCAACATACGATTGCAATGAAGATTGTATAATCACAATAGTGAATGCTGTTGAAACTGCCCTGACTAAAGATCCCAAATGCAAATTCAGATTTATTAGAAGTGGACTTTTTAAAATTAGGGGTGCGTGGTTGTAAATCAAAGTTGTAAGATTCTCGATTTCAGTTGTACACATTTACATTCAATTATTCATAGAATGGGTACCAAAATCAAGAAATGTTGTTCCAACAACTTGAGTGTCCTTTGATGCTTTGTTTTTGGTAGGGAGCCATGAGTAATTGATAGAACTTATTTCCATGTCTTGGTGCATCACTCAAAAACTAACCATTTCAGCTAGTTGACATATATTACCTCTAGTTGACACGTTTTGACTTTAGCACACTATTCACACACTTCCCTTTAACCATGTTTTGTGTTTTATACCTAATGAAAAATATAGTCATGTGGAATCTTGTTAGATTTGTCACGAAATATATTTTCAAAGTATCAAATTTTCATTATTCTTGATTATCGGTAGTTATAGATATGAATGGTTGAAGTTGTGCATTGGCAAACGTGACTAAAGAAACTTGACAACTAAAAAGAAATTGAGAAGTAGTATTCAAGTCTAATAAATCTTCGTCAGTATTCCCTTGATTTTTACCACCTACTATAGTTGACGTTTTAGTAATTACCACCAATAATTTTTTTAATTTTTATTTCACCACAACAATTCTTCAAAATCATTTTACCACCACTTAACCAAGCTCCTCAATTGTGACATCATGTTGGGGTCCATTAACTACCTCCTATTTTCCTCCTTTTCCCTCTTCTCTCTATTCTCACTCTTTGTTCTTATGCCTTTTTCAAACTCTGAATTATGGCTTGTATATTAAGCAGTCTCATGCATATTTCTGTTGTTAAATAAGATTGTTTTTTATTCCTACTTCGTATAAGCCACAGTACTTGTACTGCTTGCAAAATATGGAGGATTTATAAAAAAAGTGTTCAAACCTGCACAAAGGTGTTACAATGCCAACAAGTTCAGCGCAATGGCAAATAAACAACATACTAACCATGGCCAGCACTACCCCGCGCACCGCAATTTCCGTGCTAATACACTGTGCAAGTCTCCGGGACTGAAAAGTAATTCTTTTTGTTTGTCAAATGAAAGGTAGTACACAGTAGTTTTATAGATGGTTTCGAGTTATATAAACTTTCTGACTAGCTGCAGATGGGGATAAGCGTCTCTTCAGGCATCATGTAATGAGCACCCCTAAATGTAAAGTACAACCAATCAAACCATAATCCAAATTTATACTGCATTAGCTTATCCCCTAAATGCTTTAATTTAACCGAGTGTCCGAGTACTTCATTAAAATTGCAAACATGTTAAACAGAAGTCTTGCTAGGTCCTTTGTATCTATCTACATTCAAACTTGAAACGACAAAATACTTGTCACAAATGAAAACCAGAGTTGCATTATCAAACCATAATCCAAATTTGTACTGCATTAGCTTCACCATTAACATTGCAAATTATATATCATTTAGTGAACTACAACTGGAAATCCAAAATAAGACCTTGTAATAATTTTGAACCAAGAAAAGCTTCAAAGAAACGCAGCCTAGGAAGAAGCATTTGTAGGGCCCTCGGTATTGTCAGCACTTCCATTGGAGCTACTTTGAATGCAAGCAGAATCCGAAGAAAAACTAGGACCTAAGAGCAAAGGAGTCTTTTTCTTTGCAGGCTCAGAAGGCTTCTCAGGTTCGCGTTTTGCTGCCCAAGCCCGAAGAGGAGGTTCAAAGTGTTTGCTGGCAACATCTGGTGGAGGTGAATTTTGGTCTTCACCAGGAAGAACAAGAAGACCCTTCTCCCGAAGGGCAGATGGCTCATTGTAGAAAGCATTCCACAGTGAGTCAATCAGCTGCCTCTCTTCCTTCACAGCCCCAAGCTCTTCCTGTGACATAGTGCTGATGCTTTGAATTCGTTCTTCAAGCAGCTGCTTCAATTTATCATCTTCAATTGATTGACCAGTGGTCTCGTCAAGTTTACCACGTGCAAGCTCCAGCAAACCCTGTAGGGCAGCTTCTCTAACAGATGTATCCTCACTAGAAGCAAGGTGAATCATGATACGGGGGAATCCTAGTTCAGTTACTACACAGCCATCAGATCGGTTTTCCCGTAGAAGATAATGAAGCAAGTGCAATGCTTTCCTGCAAAACATATACATCCACAAGGATCGGCAGGTGGCAGAAAAGCAAGCGAAGAACAAAATATATTGAGAAACTCCCTTCCTAAACCATCGTAAAAACATGAATACCTTTGAAATCTAACACTCTCAGAGCTTAAAGCATCTTTCAATGCCGCATAACCATTTGCAAGGCGAAATGCTGCAACTCCAGGCTTGTTGTGACGGATTAAAGCTGCAACCAACACCAGGAATACACATCAATGTTTCAAAGCAGCAACAAGGGAAAGAACAATCACTCTCATAAATGAAAGGTAAATAGGGTCAAAAAAAAAAAAAAAAAAAGAGGCGCTGGACACTCACATGATAAAGCACCCAGTGCCTGTGTACGCACTTTCACATCAGGATCTGAAGTGAAGTTTGTAAGAAGTGGTTCAAAGCCATTTGCTTCCATTACTAGTTGTTGACTCCTAGGATTATTCTGAACAACAGTTGTCACAACATCCGCAGCCTTTGCACGTATATTTGCATGCCGATTTTTTAGGTAACCAAGCAGAGGAGACAACCCCCCAATCGAATGAAGATCTGTCAGAAGTAATCAAGCAAGAAAAATAAATATGCCACCTTGATAATGGGAATGCCAAGAAGATATTACACATTGGGCAACTTTAAAGGCAGTGTGGAACTCGTATGATTTCTTTATTTTCACCTTTTTGTAATGTTGCACACAGATTAGATTTAATTCCTTATAAAGTAATTATTACTCATTCTAACCATAGATTGCAGACCCATCAGTTTCAAGCTTTCAGTTTTTGCAACTTCAATAATATCTTCAACTACGCATCATACAAAATTATAAAAGGTTGATATATAGAAAAGAGACAGTGAGCTGAATATAACAAGATGCTTCAAGACAAGTCATAGTAAAAACATAAAATAATTTTGCTGTTACAAGTAAAAAAATCTTGCACAAAATCACCATGCATCTTGAGGAGAAAACTCAAGGATACTGGACATCATTCATTAAAAAAATTAAAAATTAAAAAAATAATTAAAATAAAAAATTCATCTATTTTAAGTAGGAGTATGACAATGAATTACATGCAGTTGAGCAACAAATCTCATCTAAATATCGTGTTTCAAATTATGGAAAGGCTTCAGTGGATTCTTTCTATAACTGGTTAAGATACAGGGTATGGGTCTTTCCCAGATTTCTTAGACAGTCACCTAGCTCCTTGACTGACCTAAGTGTATAGCAATGTGTCCCACTCCTGACACTTGACAGGCAGGTAAAAAATCAAAGATGGATTCTGTCAAAATTGATAAGAGTAGTCTGGCCTAATGTATTGTGCACTACAGTAATGCCTCGTGGGTCATAGAGCCGATAACCTTGAGTCGCTTAGGTTCTTAACTCATGTTCTAATTGTGATTGAGATTTTATCCTAGTTTACGTTTAAAAGTTAAAACACAACTCAGTACAGAGAATTCATATTATTGGAATTTGTTCTGGGCTTTTCCTTCGCTAAAATGTCAGCTAGGACTGGTAGTATGGTCTTCTCTTAGAGTTTATTTTTAATTCTGAACGGGAGCTGCAAGTTAGCACAAGATCAATTTCTTTTCTTTTCTCGGTCCTGGGCCCTATCAAAATCGGTGTTTTGTTCGCTTGCTTGTTGGACAACTCCATACCAACCATGGCTATTTGAAGCAATCTTAGAAGAATATAGTCTCACTAGCTATGCCAAAAGAAGAGAATATTGCCTGGCTTGAGGCAAGCAAGAAGCACCTACTTGAGAGAAATCCATCGCAAACCTGGCTTAATACATAAATGAGGCCATCTGGCAATAGCAGCATTTACAGCAATCATCACTATTTTTTTCAGGACTGCCAAAACTGTTATTTGAGAACAAGACAACAGTATTTCATAAGATGTAGATTTTGAATCCCAAGAGGAACTGCAGATTAACTTTCTAAGCCAAAGCAAGCAAATATCACAGAATAATTCTGAAGCTTTGATTCTAATCCTATTGTTAAATCATAGGCTTATAATAATCTACTTGCCTTTTCTCCACTTAAGGGAGCTGTGTCAAATTCCGAGCACTATCTAGTATGCACTTTGGTTTTCAATAAGGAGTTAATAGGCATCACCCATGCTGGCAGGGAGAATAAACTATCTAAGAAGGAAGCTGATCTTATAAAATAATGACACCAGCCTGGCTCATTCTTGGATGAAGAGCCCTAAGCCTCTTTTATTTATCTTTCCTTGTCCTTGATCAAACTGACAAAGTTGTTGTTCATTGACTTTCAATTATGAACGAAACGCTTTACCTGCTCTAAGCCCCTTTTAGTCGTCTTTCTTTGTCCTAAACCAAACTGACGAAGTTGTGTTCTTTGTCCATTACAAAAGAAACGCTTCACCTGCTTCTTCCCCATGTCCACCAGCACTCAAGGAAAACCTAAAAGCTCATCTTTTCATTAACACCAGTTGCTAGAGGCTATGACAAGAGGTCTCAAATCAAACAATAGAATCTAACTGTAACCTTGCTCATCATCCAGCTTTCAATGCAGAAATGATATACTTAGTATGCTAAAGGATGAGCGATTCACAATTGCCATATGAGGCATCAAAACCTTGCATGCTATACAGCAATTACATCCAATTTCAGTAACTGAAGTAGACAGAAGGAAACTGTAAACTTTTGATTAGTCCATTTCTACCTTATGAGCATCAAATTTGCCTTGATATGAGTCATTAACAAGATTGTCTATACTGATGCAGAAGGCACAAAAGATTTAAAAGGGTGTTAAATGTTAGTGCAAATCCATAGTCCAGCTATAATATTTTTTTTAGAATCCTATACATATCACATGTAAAGAAGGATACTTTTGATCCCAAATTAACAGGCTAACTTTGTTAATATCCGCTCCATTGCTTCACACCAAAGACAAGAATCCCAAGTACTACTAGCCTTAAGTAACATCACATCTAAATTTTTACCATAAAGAGTACCATCCATTGCTTAAGGAAAAAATTTTATGATTACCATCCATATACTGATGCTCTCTACAAAGTTAGGAGCAAAATTAACTGACTAGGTGAACAACTTTGTGGGACAATTTTCATCAATCACTATGGGAAAATAGGGAGCTAATCAGCTAAGCTCCTCTTTTCTCAGCATCAATGACATACAAACCACCACAATCATACATGTAACAAGATTTGTTCAGCTCAGCAAACCAACAGAAGACTTGCAAAACATAGGCTTAATTACAAGACAAACACTCTCCAAAACAATTCAAACAATACTAGAAGCAATCCAACTTCATTCAAGAAAATCAACAAAGCAACTCATGCAACTGAAGGAATGCAACACCCTAAGCTAAAAGCTAAATGAATGATGGAAAAACCAACATTTATAATTTAAGTGAAATTCATAGGATTTGCAATGCAACCCAGATTTAAGGAAATAATTTTCTGGTTCAACAAATCTCTATAGGTATCTGTCCATTTCTTTCATCTCTCTCACTATCTTACTGATTCAAAATTATCAACATTATCAAAAGGAAACAACAGAATATAACCAAACAATAATGACCACATTTACTAAAATCACGTCAGCAAAACCACAATACAAGTTTTTATCTAATTTAATACTGGTTACAAGAAAATCATTATCAATTTGTCACAAGAATTAAAATACACCAATGCCATAGGGGGCATTTCAACACTGCCCATATTGGAACTTATTCCAAGCAATATAAGATTGTTAAAAGCATGACATTGACAAACAAATAAACAGAAAAGAAAACAAATCTTTAAGCTCACCATTTGCCATATCAATTGACTCTACATGCTCTTGCAGCTCATCCAACATATCTGTAGATTAACAGAACCAAAAATCATTAAAGTTTGCAGAGGCTCCGAAAAGAAGATATGTATATAATCACATATCATATTGCTAAGGCAGGGCAAACATCGGCATTACCTTCAATATCACCAGGACTAACTCCTTGAGAGTCTAAGACTTCCTCTGGAGTTTGCATAACTTGAGTTATCTCTTTCATTCGTTTGACTACATCAATGGTTTGTGACTGCATCGCTTCCATAAACCATTTTCGGTCTTCCTCGCTGGTCATCCCAAAATCACATGCATGAGGCCAGAATAAAGCATGAACATTTGTGCTGGTAAATACTATGAGGGTTTGGTTTACCCATTAATTCAACACATGCCAGATTGGCTAAATAAATATAGAAGCAAAACTCCAAACAGTAACATAAATGATGCCAAGAAAGATTAACGGCAGGTTTAACACCACCCCCACCCCCCCCCCCTCTCTCTCTCTCTCTCTCTCTCTCTCTCTCTCTCTCTCTCTCTCTCTCTCTCTCTATTACCCCCAAAAAATGATCATAATCAATTCAAGATACAAAAGGTGGCAAATTAAAAAAAAATGGAATTAACTATGAATCATCCGTCATCAGAATACATTTCAGTAATCGTTTTAGTATCTCTTTGTAATGAGCCTAATTAAAAAAAGTTAATTGCACCATTTCCTCTAATGGTATGGATTTAACTACAGTCGCCCTCTATAAGTACTTCCACTCTCCTCTTACCCTCTCCAATCATCATAAACCTTGCATTTATGCAATTGCCATGGCTGCCAAAATTCATGATCAGCACTTGCTCCTACTGCTTTAACCCAACAACCAGACTCGATCAACTTCACCACCAGGAACCAGCCTGACAACAACCGCAACCACCCCCCAACTGCCACCCTCCTTCATTAAGACTTCCACCACCACCACCACCAAAACTACCATCCTCCAATAATCGACCTTCAAAAACAATCTCCTTAAAACCAGAGTCCCACAACCTTAATTACCAACCCAAAAAATTGGAAAAAAGCAACAGGATTCCTAAAAAAAATTATGAAGCAACCATGGAGTACCTTGAGCAAAAATCAATCTACACCTAAGCTTTTGGTGGTACACGCATGTCTTGTATTGTCAATCCAACCACACATCTTTTTTCTTTTTTTTGGCAGTGGTATGATGGCGGCAGTGATTTGCAACTATGAGTGTGGTGGGTTGGTGGAATAGCAAAGGTCAATGGCGGTGGCAGTGGCGGTGGTTAGGTTGCAACGGTTATGGGGAGTGAAGAAGGGTAGAGTATTCATTTTGACATCCGCTTTCCTTTTTCTTAAATAATGTGACATTTAGAAATTGTGCTACTATTTTGTAATGGAGGAAGTATTATTGTCCTACTCATTATCATACATAGAGTGTACAAGAAAACTACACTGTTTCTGTTTTTTAATTTATCCAGCAGGTACAAAAACGCACTACTAATATGAAAACTGAGAACACTTACAAAATCAAAGATTTCCTCAGCACTAGTTTAAATAAGGAAAATCCTCCAACAAATTCTTCATTGGCCACATAGTTTGTGCTTAATTTTAATTTTACTTTCAGCTTTTTTAATTTTGGCTGATGGGTTAAATTCCTCAAGGGCAGTTTTGGGCCGGAGCTAGGTGGTCGACGGAACAGGGCCCCCAAATTTAAGGGGCCCCAAAATCTAGATATATAAACTTAAGTTTGGTATAATATCATGAAATTGTAGTTGGAGTAGTGGTTAGAGCAAGTATGCTGTGTATACGAGATCTCAAGTTCCGAGCCCTTTGGGCATACAATTTTTTAATTTTTTTGGAAAATGAAGTGCACAGCTGTGTAATGTATTTGCATCCAAATACATTGAATGTACCATTCCTCTAGAAACCTCCATCCAAACCCAATAAGCAGATATTCAGAATTTCAGATCTTTCCTCCCAAAAATTTTCAATCTACCATTCTAATTCCCAAAACAAACTCTATATCTTCCAAAACTCTATATTTTTTTTATTTACTTTCTATTATTATCTTCATTTTCTTCAATTATTCAATTCATTTTCAAATTTTTTCATCTCCCAAAATTATGTTTCCCATTTTAATTTAATTTTGACGAATTTTCTGATGTAATGAATTTTTTTTATCAAATAAAAATTGGGTATTAAATTTATCGAGTAGAAGGCCCCATTTTGAAAAGTTGAACAGGGCCCCATAAATAATTAGCAATTTTAGCCCCGGCACTGAAATTCCTTAAAATCTTGCAACTTCGTAAAACCATCCTTTCCTAACAGTTATCATTTACGAGTACTTAGTATGCAGTACTTTCCTATAAATAGTCTATCAGTGGACTAAACCATCCTTTCCTAACTCTTATCATTTACGACTACTTAGTATGAAATACTTCGTATAAATAGTCTATCAGTGTACTAGAACAATTCAATGCAAAACAATACTGATATAACTTCACAAACACCAGAACAACTTCATATTTAAAAGGCTACAACAGTACTACTAGAGATAAAGCAAAAGCTGCAATCAATCCATCATCTGCCGCATAGTAACTGCGTAATCTTAAATTCAGTATACGTAGGTTGATAGTTCTAATAAGTAGAAATCTTTCATTTTCAAAACAGCTAAACAACTTCTTTATCACCCTTTATACAAAAATTCATAAGAACACTCTATAGCAGAACAACTGATTTCAATTCAAAACCCGGCACTCAATAAACACGAAAAGGTTTGCAAAACCAGCAATCAATACATTATTATAGGAAAACCCAAATTCACATTCGGAACAACGGTTGAATACATTAATATCAAATTCAAAGACTGGTGAAAATAAATTGAAGAAAACAAAGAGGGAAAGATGAGATACCTTAATTGGCGTGGAGGTTGAGTACCATCGGAGTGAGATAAACTCCATTTCAGGAGTCCTTCCCAATTGGGGTTGTCTTTACTCATGATTTCAGAGGAAAACTTTGTGAGGTTTTGCAGAGATGGGGAATTCCAGAAACCCTGAGAAGAGTGAGAAACGAGAATGTTCTAGCCAATTGTAGAGGACCGAATTTCATATGTATATATATATATATATATATTTGTGAGAATTCATCTTATATGTGAGAACAAATCTCAGCCATCAAATTGTATTCAATCCAACGCCTAATCACATAAAATTCCTAAAAATCACGCCTAACTGTCATCTCTCTCCACCCAATTAACTGACTTCTCTCTCCACCACGAAGCTTCATCAATGGCGTCTAATCAGTAACGCTGTTTCTCATTGCTTCAAATTGGATCCTCCAAGTAATCATAAGCAAGTTCACACCGACCTCGCTCGCCTTGCTCGATATTAGTAATCGCAATTGCAATCGCTGCTACAAAATCAAATTCGTCGGGTTATTGAATTGCATGTTAATTGCATGATAATTTTCGATTTTTGAGGTTTGTTCTGTTCTCATTGAATTGCATGTTTAATTGCAATCGCCAGGTTATTGAATTGCATGTTAATTGCATGATAATTTTCGATTTTTGAGGTTTGTTCTGTTCTCATTGAATTGCATGTTTAATTGCATCAATTATTGATTTGATTGAATTTACCACTTTGAAGTTTTTTTAATTGAATCAATAATTTAGGTTTGATTAATTTGATAGACATTGAAAATTTGCTATCAAATTTAAAATGAGCAAATAAATTTAAAAGAGCAAACCTAATTAAAATGAGCAAAACCAAAAAAAAAAAATGAGCAAATGAGCAAAATAAGTTGGTGATGGTGGTGGTGGTAGGGTGCAGGGGACAGGGGTGGTGGCAGGGGAGTGAGAGTGAGACAGGTTGTGGTGGTGATAGTGGTGGTGGTAGAGTGCAGGGGCAGGGACAGGGGCAAGGACAGGGACGGAGGAAGAAGAGAGAGTTTGGTGGTGGTGGTGATTGTACTGTGTAAGGAAGAGGGTGAGAAATGGCATTCAGCTCATTATCATAAGTTACAGAAGCAGTGAAAGAGGTAGCTGTAGCTAATGCTAATGGTAATACTAGGATTAGAAGAGAGAGAGTGCCCATATTATTGTGAAGAAAAAAGAGTAGAGAGAAAGAAAGTGGAGGGAAGTGATGGGAAGGCTTATGTAGCTGCTTCGTGGCAGGTGAAAGACTGCTAAGAGCGTTGCATTAGTGAAGCGAAGGCAGTCCTTTGGGGACTTCAGCTTGCTGCAGATTTCGGCTACTGACAGGTCACAGTAGAAAGTGATTTCAGTTAAGGAGCATTCATGATTGATTGCAGATACAACCGTATCCAAAATCAATTTCTCCTGCATCTACCTGGTCTATAATTGACTGTTTATATAAAATTGATCATTCAATGTAAATTTGGTTCTATAGACATGCTTTATGCTTTATGCTTGATGTTGCTGCGTTGTACTGTGTTATTTTGACAAGTAATGTATCATATATAGGCTCATTTAGCAAATGAGCAAATAGTTAGTTGCTCGTTTGTCAAATGAGCAAACACTTAGTTGCTAATTTCACAAATGAGCATTCAATTATTTGCTCATTTGACAAAAGATCAAAGAATTGTTTGCTTATTTCACAAATGAGCATTGAGTTCCTTGGTCTTTTTGCCTGTGCACAAGCCCCACCCCCTTCTTCTTGGTCTGTTTCCTGCACACCAACCACACTCCCTTCTTCCACTTCCCTACACAAACCTATCCCCCCCTGCCCCTTCATCTTTCTGCTTGCAGTTCTGATTTCAGAAATTGTTGTTGTTGTTGTTGTTGTTGGTGTGTGTGTGTGTGTCTGTGTGTGTGTGTGTGTGTGGGTGTGTATGAGAGAGAAAGAGAGTGAATGTAAGAGTGTATGTATAAGTGTGTATGTTTGCTTCTGGCCATGTACATTCTTATTTAAGAATCTGATTTCAGTTCTAATTATTGAGAGTTTGTGTGTAAGTGTGTTTAAGGGGGTGCATATTTACTTGTTACTATTTTGTGGGAATGTTAATGACTTGTTATTTCTATTATGTTTAATGACAGAAATGATGAGGAACAACGAACAACTTGACAATCATTCTAGTACCATCACAAATGTGCCTACTACTCCTACAATAGTAGTTTCTCCTAAAGTAGCACCTTTGCTCACTCCTGGAGGAACAAAAGAATGGCTTCCAATATGCCCCAATGAGTTGAAACCAGCTATAGGGATGAAGTTTAATAATCTTGAAGAGGGCCTTGAATTTTATAAAAGTTATGCATTTGCTGCTGGATTCAACACAAGAAAGTCTACAACTAAAAGACAAAGAAGAAGCAAAGAATTGAAATCACAGTATATCTTATGAAATAAGGAAGGATACAAAGAGAAAAGAAAGGCTACTGTTGAAAAAGATTTAAATAACAAGGAAGGAGAAAGCAATGAAGAAAAAGTTTCAATCAAAAGGAAGAGACTTGTTACTCGTGTTGGGTGTAAGGCACATATTGTCATAAAGCATTGTGATGATAACAAATTCATAGTGTCACAATTTCATGTGGGACATACTCATCCACTTTATACACCTAGTTGCAATCTCTTCCAAAAAGAAGGAAGGAAAATGAACATATTGCACAAAAAAATAATTGTGAATAATTCTAAGGTAACACTTTCAAAGTCTCTTATGTTTCATGAATTCTCTATATGTTCTAATAAAAGCTATTTGCTCATTTGACAAATGAGCATTGAATTGTTTGTTCATTTGAAAAATGAGCATTAAATTGTTTGCTCATTTGAAAAATGAGCGTTAGATTGTTCAAATGAGCAAGCAAATAATTAGATGAGCATTGAATTGTTTGCTCATTTTAAAAATGAGCATTGAATTATTTGCTCATTTGACAAATTGTTTTGTTCTTTAAATAGGTGAATATTGGTCTCGTTACAACTTTTCGAATGATGAAGGAAATTGTTGGAGGATATGATAACATTGGTGCATCTAAGCAAGATTTCAAAAAATTTCATAGAGATTTAAAAGCATACATTCAAGGAAGCGATGCTCAAATGTTCGTGGATAATTTTACCAACAAAAAGCTAATGTGGAGTGTTTTTTTCTTTGATTTTGAGATGGATGAAGATTATTGCCTTTGTAGAGCATTGTGGGAAGACCCCCTTTGTAAAAAGAGTTATGCTCTATTTAATGATATGGTATCCTTTGATACCACATACCAAACCAATAGGTAATACATAATAATCACAATTCATTTCTATGTTATAACTATGGCTTAACTTAATGACTTTGTTTTAAATGAACTTACTATAATTGTTTGCTTACTTCAATGTGAAAAGTGAATATTCCCAGAAGTCTAATTTTCATTTATAAGAGTATGTATATGGGCATTGAATTGCATGTTCATTTGACAAATGAGCATTGAATTATTTTCTCATTTGACAAATGAGCAAAGAATTGTATGCTTATTTCACAAATGAGCATTGAGTTATTTGCTCATTTGACAAATGAGCATTCAATTATTTTCTCATTTGACAAAAGAGCAAAGAATTGTTTGTTTATTTGACAAATGAACATTGAGTTATTTGCTCATTTGACAAATTAGCATTGAGTTATTTGCTCATTTGACAAATGAGCATTGAGTTATTTGCTCATTTGACAAATGAGCATTCAATTATTTGCTCATTTGACAAAAGAGCAAAGAATTGTTTGTTTATTTCACAAATGAGCATTGAGTTATTTGCTCATTTGACAAATGAGAATTCAATTATTTTCTCATTTGACAAAAGAGCAAAGAATTGTTTGTTTATTTCACAAATGAGCATTGAATTATTTACTCATTTAAAATTTAATATGTATGTATAAATAGGTACAACATGGTGTCTACTCCCTTTATAGGGGTTGACCATCATAAGAGCTGCATTATTTTTGCTGCTGGTTTCATAGAAAAGGAAGATATTGTGTCATTTGAGTGGCTGTTCAGATCATTTCTCAAGGCAATGGATGGGAATGAACCTAATTGTATGATCACGGATCAGGATCCAGCAATGAAAATTGCTATTAAAAGTGTGTTTAAGAAGACTGAACATCGGTTCTGTTTCGGGGTTTTCTGATGTCCTGCGGGAGAGTTATAATTCCGAGACTGGAACCGTGCGCCTGTACCTACAAAACAACGGAAACTCCGGGTGGTAGGAGCTCCGCCTCCGACGGTCAAGTTAGTACTTGTTTAAGGAGTAATTAATGCGGAAAAGAGTAAAGGTTTTCTCTAGGTGAGAGTAATTAATTTGCTTAATCCCCTTTAATGAGGATTAATGAAGGTACTTATATGCCTTGGGATGCATGCCAGTCTTAGGTTTAGGTCAACCTAGGGTTGGTTGGGCTTCCACAAGACTTTGGGCCTAAGTGGCCGGTATTTCCATTTGGCATGGGGGAGGACACATGTCGTGTCGTAACTGGTCCATGGTGGACAGATCAACACCTAACACGTGGCAGGCTCCTATTGGCCCATGTGGCGGACACATGGCAGAACCTGATTGGTCCACTTGTCAGACGATGATTGGAAGGGAAAAATCCCCTAATCATTTTCCCCTCACAGGTGGCACGTGACTGATCACATGTCACCTGTGACAGGTGTCGGCCTGTAACAGGCGATGACCTGCTATAGGTTTCGCCCTATGACGGGCCGAGTATTTTTCCCGCTCATTTTTTGAATTTGGAGGCGACTCTTCGCATTCTCTTTTGCCCTATATAAAGGCATGTTGACCAAGTCTTTTGTTCACATTTGCGAACTTTTTCAAGAGAACTCTCGGACCCCTGAACTTGAGCTCTGACACTTTGCAACTTCTGACCTGCCAGGACAACTGTTTTACTAGGCGCCTACTCGATCAAGCTTTTCAGAACTTAAGTTTCAGGTAACCGTGTGTTCCTTTATCCTTTTTTTATACTTTTTCTTTCTTTTTTGAAAATGAGACCTCAAAAGCATCCGGCACGGCCTAGGTTAGCAATCAGCCGGTCACCGGGGACGGCTGAGTCTAGGACTAGGGGTGCCGACTGCCCTGCGGTACTTCAAACTTTGCGCAAGTCCCGGAATCCAACTGTCTTTGTATCTATGCAGGAT